CAATGATTGTCATCATCATCAAAGAATGACACACTATTGCTCTACGCTTATCAGCAATCAAATTTCCCAACAGACCCCACCTATAAAAAAGTTCAATTTTCAGATGCAATCAATTAGTCCCAAATCTGAGTCGGGGAATCCACTTATAAGTAAAAAGGGCCATGGCAACCATGCGCGTGCCCTAAAAGTGGAATGGAAGTCTTCCAACTCTCAATGTCTTCCAAATCAAATCAAGCCAGAGATTAACTTATAAAGGTAATTGATGGTGTCGAGTCCTGACTTTGGAACAAATTTTCCAACTGAAGATAAGATGGGGAGTCTCTCCCACCTTTTTTAATAATAGAAAAAGAAAGACTCCCCAGCTTTTAGTAGTGACCCGTGACTTCACCAATCCCCTCGTCAAAATGCACATCATATTCCTCCATCAAAAGTGCATCGAAGCTGAAATGTTTAATGATGCTGATATGCTTAATGATTCGATACAAAAGTCTCGGCTAATTCTCTTTAGCTAGCCTTCTTGGATTCTCTCTTTAGCTAGACAATTAACTCATCGGTTCACCGCTAACAAAGGGATTAGTTTTGCGTTAACTCATCATAAATGTACAGGGACGTATATGGTCGGAACGAAGTCTTTCGCATTGGTTTTAAAAGATTACGACGTAGCCATTGCCTCGGTCCCAAGAGGAAGAGCAGACTTATCTGAAGTCGCACATCTCTTGAAACATGGTCATGCAGATTCTCTCCTTCTCACAAACGCATAAAGTGGACTCTACATGGTACTTTGCGAGGCTCAGAGAAATTGAGAAGAAAGGTATGGATAAGATAAAGCTTCTATGAACAATGACACCGGCCACTAGATCCCCATTAAATATTCCTCCACAGTCGCACCTCTCTCTTCTCTCGTAAGCGTCATTGTTTCAAGTAGTAGACAGTGTTGGAGATTGGGACCCTTGCCCTTCCATGATGCTTCATCTTCACGACCACTATCCGGAGGCTCCTCCATGTTTTTGGTGGGGGTCGAAAATAAGAAAGTTCATTTTGGGGGGCCAAAGAGAGAAAACAAAAGAGGAAAAGTTGAAGTGCCAATCGCACGTTGTGCAACACATGCTGCTAATCATTTTGCTTCTTTCCAAGTTTTGAGCATCCAAGAGGAGATGGAGGGAAGCGAAAGGTTTTGAGCAGATTAGGGTTTTTTGCAGCTTTGAAGTAGGCTGCCACCACACTGATGAGTCATGGGGACATGAACTTGACAAAAAGGATCTTGAGTTTTCTGCACGAGGTGGTCCTCTTTTGTTCTTCCTTTTGTTGTAAGAAGGATGAGTCTCCAATCACTGCCAATTTCATTGATGGATCTCTAGATGAACCGAAAATTTTTTATGTAGATAGATCTAGAGAAAGTACCAAAAAAAAGTCCCAAACCTATCGCATTGCTACAAAATTTTGTTATAAACCTTTTAATTTGATCAATTTAGTTCTAAACATTTTGCATTTGTGTCAATTGAGTCTATCGGGCCAATTTTGACCGAAAATCACTAAAGTGGACACTGGCCATCCTACATGGAGCAGCCGGCGCTGATGTGGACTTTTTTCCTTTCATTTTGGTCGGCAACACTAGGTGAGGGCTTCGCAGGATTAAAGGAAAACAAAGAAAGAAAAAATTAATTAAAAAACTAATTTTTTAAAAAAATTTATTAAAATATGCCCACGTCAGTGCTGACCGTGCCACGTCGGACATCTAGCATCCACATCAACGATTTTCGGCCAAAATTAACCGGATGGACTCAATTGGCACAAATACAAAAGGTTTAGAACTAAATTGATCCAATTGAAAGGTTTATAATTGAATTTGTACCAATGCGATAGGTTTGAGACTTTTTTGGTGCTTTCCCTAGATAAAACACATAATCCATCATCCCCTTTGGGTAGCAGTGATAGAACATATTTCGCAAAGCCATAAAAGAAAAGAGAGAGGGAATGACTAAAGAAGTAACAAAGCCGGTTTTGCTTCTTATTTGATAAAAAAAATATCGGTTAAAAGGAATGTTATAGTTAAAACACGCGTGTAGCAATCTATTAGATCAAGTCGATCATTCATATTTTATTGAACATCGTGGAGCTCACATTGGACCCCATTAAAACGTACACCAAATCAATTACTAGTACATATTGATTTGCTTTTTTCTCCCTGACCCTTTCCGAAATGGAATCTTCCGACGCCCCAATTAATTACCATCAATGCTAGGAAATTATTAATATGCTTATTCTATCTTGTTAACAATAGAATGAGTATATGCAAAGCTAGGAAGCTTTAAAGGCAAAAGTAGACTAGGACTTGGTACTGATCAGTTCCACTCCAATGGATTTGCTAGGGCCAAATGAAAAGGGACTAACACCTTTGGACCAGTGAAGCTTATTTGAAGGAAGACTACCTCCACTGAATCAGATTCCCCCTCATACAACACCACTAACTAAGATTGTCCCAGAGATTTTGGTACTGTATGCTCTCCAGCTGTTTTGCTGAGCATTGCAGCAAAGATATATTGCTCGTGCTCGAGCATTCGATTTTAAGATGGTATCAGAGTCAGAAGCAACATATGAGATCCTCGGAACTGTTTTCTTTCCTTCCATTTGTAAGGTTTCTCTCAATAAATTGAGATTCTCAAATATTTTTAGCCTACACAAATTGAATACACAAGCTTCAAGATTTTTGTCATTTCAACATCCACCAAATAAAGTTGTTCCTCCGACAAATTGAACTTATATGACAATCAATTATACACTCAATACATGTCTCTATATAATAAAGGAAACTTAAAACTAATTTAGATCTTAAACTGTTAATATTCTAATGTAGAAACCTTACATGTATCATTAAGAGGAAAAATTACCCCACAAATCTTAAATGTTTTATACCGAGTGCAATTGAAACGTTACAAAAAGTGAAATAAAGTCCTAAGTATTCTAAAATCTGTGCCGTCGAGTCCAAATTTTGTCTCCCGTAGTGTTAACGGGCAAGAAAAATTCAATACTTTTCAAATAATTATTGTCAAAATCATGCTAAATTAGATTAAAGGTTTGAGTTTCCAGCGACAAAACCCTACCAACAGTGAGGCTAGGACTTGATTGCGCAAATTTTTAAAAAAATTAGGATTTAATTGTGAACGTTTTAGGGGTTTCAGCATAATCCCTTCTTAAGATGAATCATGATCATATACTACTAAATGGGGAAAAATCAAAATCAAAAGTAGTCAAGCTTACAATAATAAAATTTTGGTCCTAAGCATGACCTTAAATTGCTTCGTCCTATACCTCTTATGAATTTCGGTATCCCTTGGATGTTAAACACCTAGGGGGTAGAGCTAGGTACAGGCTCGATAAAGGTATTGCCAACTGAAGAGGTACAGGGCGTGTAGGCACCGACACATTAAAATATCTCAAATATTTAATACATTAAAAATAAAATACAAATATCTTCTTTTTCATAGCAGTTTAAGATTATTTTTTTTCCCATAAGACTAGCACGACTACATTATCTTTTGCTTTATTCAAATTTTTTGATGCACACATTTGACTTTCATTCAACTCAAGCATATGAAATTTCCCAATTATAAAATTATTGATACGTAGGACCACATACAGTTTTCTTTCACAAATTTGCGAAATTTCGATGATACTTACTTTTTGCTTATACTTAAACTTAAACAAACAAGCTCGAAAATACTCATGATTTATCTTGACAAACTTAATTTTTTTCCCCTTTGAATTCTATCTCGATATGTGGGTGTGCTTTCTCTGCCTAGTTCAATGTAATAAGAAGCGAACCTATAAAATCATTCACATTTCTGAAGTCACTCCAAACCAATCGAACGACAGGCATTTGCGAGTTTCCCATCGCATCGATCGCATCGATCGATAGTGTTTGCCCTCCTTATCCTCATCGTCGACCGAACTGACAAGCCTTTGCATTCGCCTGTTACCATCACTCAATTTGCTCAGCCACATGCATGACACCAGCGCCATGAAAGCGAGATGGTTGTGGAGTGGAGTGTGCTGTCGCATCAACGTTATCCATGAAATGAATGGGGATTACAGGCAACTGTTTAGGACAAATGATCTGAGTCCTGTCGGCCTCGACTTCCATTGGAGTAAAGAGACTAGTACGGTGGACTTTTGGAAGTGTACACATTTCAAGTTGTTTCAATATGATCTTTCGTTGCTTGGTTGGATTCATTAACTAACGTACCCCTGGTTACAGAAGCACTGTGCATAAATTTTGCTGAACTTAAACTTTTTTACATATGATGAAGAAGCTATGAAGTAACTAAACTTTAGGGATGAGTCATCTCCTACTCTAATCCCGTTTCCTATTTCCGTCGCAGAACCGTGGCACACGTGTTCATTGCAACTCTAATTCTTACCGCATCTGATTTACATCTCCACCAAACCCTAACCATTAATCCTCTCTCTTTTTACCACTGTGCCTTTAGCCACGCCTCCCTCCATCGTTGCCACAGCGAAGTTTCCGTGTGGTGGTCTCCAAGTTGAGCCACTACCATGGGTCGAGGTTGCACCACCATCCCCCGTCTCTCCCCCACCCCCACCCCCCGGTTGTTACCGATCCTCAACGGCTCCACCACGGCCATTGAGATCTTGCCTCGCTTTGATTCTTGCTTGCGAACATGGAGGAGCCGACACCTCTAGATCAGGAGGGACATCCTCCCTGACCTAGGAAGAGCTCGATGTCGACATCGAGCTGAGAGAGAGAGAGAGAGAGAGAGAAGGGGAGGGGACAAAAAGTCTTTGCGAGTACCAACTGACGCTAAATTTTAGTGAAATCGTATCGCTAATGTGCCATTATTCCCTGGAAGACGAAAGTCTCCAATCTAACACGGTTTTTAACAGTTCAGAGGCATCATTCTAAATGACATCAACTTTACAAAAAGGAAATTGTCCTCCCCAAGCATTTCCCATTTCTCTTTCTCTTTATCTTTTCACACAGCCAGTCCAAGCAATTATTAGCATACAGAGAAGAAAAGCCCTCAACTTTAGCACTATAAATAGCACTCTCGACACCTTCCAAAACACTTGCCCACCTGCCCCAAAAATGCCCATTCCCCCCTGAAAATTGCTTGTGAACTCCAGTATGTCCTCTCACTAAAACCACAAATCATGAACCACAACCTCCTGGACGCCCTCAACGTCCGGGTCGTCGGGGACGGCGACCGGGTCCTCGTCCTCGCTCACGGCTTCGGGACCGACCAGTCCGCGTGGCAGCGCGTCCTGCCCTACTTCCTCCCGCACTATCGCGTCGTCCTCTACGATCTCGTGTGCGCCGGCAGCGTCAATCCGGGCTACTTCGATTTCCGGCGGTACTCCACGCTCGATGGCTACGTCGACGACTTGCTCTTCATTCTCGACACCCTGTGCATTGACCGTTGCGCGTATGTCGGGCACTCGGTGTCGGCCATGATTGGAATCCTAGCTGCCATCCGCCGCCCGAGCCTCTTCACCAAGCTCGTCCTCATCGGAGCCTCTCCAAGGTACACACACAGTCGGGACTCGAGGAGACTCGAATTAACTTGTTATCGAATCGAAGTGAAATAATTAATGCTCCTATCGATAATGATAGGAGAATAGATGATATCAGAGCACGATGTTTTGTGTGAGAATTTGAGAGTCCTCCTTAATTCGGCTATTTTTATGAGTATTTTCACGCCTCGATTTTAGATTTTCATGCATATATAAGGACAAGTACTAAATTAGTTCAATGTCAAATTGGATTTTTCATCCATCGCCTTAATTTTCATCATAATTAAACCTTCGACTTTTTCGCCGAACACTAAGAGCATGTGTTATTAGGTTCGTGAACGATGAAGATTACCATTGCGGGTTCGAGCAAGAGCAGATCGAGCAAGTTTTCACGGCGATGCAGTCGAATTACGAGGCGTGGGTGACCGGTCACGCGCCCTTAGCCGTGGGGTCCGATGTTCCGGCCGCGGTCCGCGAGTTCAGTCGGACCTTGTTCAACATGAGGCCCGACATATCCCTCTTCGTGCTGCGCACGGTGTTCAATAGCGACATAAGGGGCGTGCTGGGCCTCGTGACGGTGCCTTGCTGCATAATCCAGACCGCTCACGACGTCTTGCTGCCGGCGTCGGCGGCGACGTACTTGACGGACCACTTGGGCGGTCCGAACACGATGGAGGTGCTGAACACGGAGGGCCACTTGCCGCACCTCACCGCACCGGGACAGTTGGCTCAGGTGCTCCGGCGAGTGCTTTCGCGGTGATCGGCGCAGGCGTCGCCGTAAGATCGGTTGCCATTTGAGATGAGTGTTGTGAAGAGATTGTTTTTTCCTGTTTTTTGGAGAGTTGGGTTTTGATTGAGGAGAAGCAGGATTGACACGAGATGAAAGACGTTAAATCTTTCGATTCGTGGGACTCGACAGGAGGAAAGCTTTTGACTTTGGTGGAACTGATGATGGATGATGTGATATATAAAAAGAACATGGGTCGAAAGATCATGAGCAAAAACCCTCACTTCCCCTTGAATTTGCACTGTGATCAGTTGTTATTAAATCATAAAAAAAAAATTGCAAGATGAGTTTTCTTTTAGGAAAGGATTGGTTTCATTCGGATTTCGGATAAAAAAAAGAAAAAAGAAAACGAGAGACGAAATTCAAGTGGCTAGATTCAAATTCTAGATATAACGTTCTGCGAATCATCGAACGATGTTAAATTTATTGAGACTGATTTGAAAAATAGATATATCGACCGACGTAATAGACTTTTAGAACCACCCTCGTCGTCGCGAACCTAAAATGCTTGCAGGATTTGGAGAGAATTGAAGAATACACAATCTGCAAATCTCACCTTCACGTTTCACTCTTTTGTACATGGACTGCAAATGATTGCTTGTCAACAAGCATGCACGTTAGAAGAATTACCTTTCGGAGTGAGCTTTGATCTGAAGCTAATATTTTGTACCCTCGAACTACTACTTAATGAGATTTCTAAGCAATACTTTTTGGAACCCGAAAAAAGAAAAAAAAATCAAGCACGCACGTTAGACGACCTGTCATTGCCCTTGGTCTAATGCGGAAAAATTAACAAATCTTGCGATTGAATGGGGACTCAAGTGAATGAGACCAGTAAAAAAGTAAACGAAATTTACATGATTCTATCCGAGTATTAGTACCTACTCTATGGGGAGAACTTGCTGCAACTAATTTACTGATCGATCTTAGATTACACTCAAATCCACGGTGTTTAACCTCTCAAAAAATTACTTCGCGGCTTGAAATGCTCACCATCTTAGCAAAAGAAAACGCCTCAATTGGAGGTAAACTTTGCGCACAAAATATCATCATGCGTTTCTGTTCCTGCGCACGGCTAAACAAGAGCTCCCACCTTTTATGTCCCCCTTTCCATGTGCGGCCGAAACAAGTCCACTGTGCAGCTCCCTTTTTAAGGAGTCCCACCGTGCGGTCAACCTTGGATTTGGTTCGCTCCCACGGTCAACTTTGGATAACTTGATTTGCTTTTTTTTTTTTCAGATTTTCTGAGGTTAGGTAGCACCGCAAATAAATTAGTTCAATAAGTGAAAACTTCAACACAGTGGAAAATGATTTCCACATTTTAGAGAAGGGAAAAGTGACAGGAATGGTTTCTGAGCTTTGTCCCGATATGCGACGTGCTCCTTAAACTTTTAATTTATTCAGTATGGTCCTTAAACTTTAACCCGATGTATAATGTGGTTCCTGAATATTTTGATTTGTTCAATGTCGTCCCTGAACTTTTGGTACATATTTAATTTGATCCATGAACCATATGAAAATGTTCAATATAGTAACTTCGGGGATTACATAATCAAGAGTCCAGGGACTATAAAGTAAAAGTTCATGAACCGCATTAAATATTAAGTTAAAATTTACGAACTGGAATCATATTACACGACGTTGAGTTAAAGTTCAAAGACTGTTTGTATAATTATTCCTTTCGAACAAAATTAAATCATTTTCCTCCTCTTTCTCTCTCCTCCTCGATCTCGTGCACTTCCTTCGAAACCATCACCCTCTCTCTCTCTTTCTCTCTCTCCATCCCTCCAATCTTCTCCGCCACCCCACCCAAATCATCGTCCAAGCTTTCCTTAAGACACAATAACCTCATCCCACGCCTCAAAATCTCCAATAAAACGTAGCAGATGTCAATCTTCAAGTCAATCTATAATTGATTCGTGTCGGAACCTTCATAGAGACGAGACGTTTCACGGCAAGCCTAGAGCTTGCATGCTCGACCCGTGACCGAAATTTTTGAAAAAGAGCACCTAAACCACCATTTAACCTTTACAGGGAATGGAAGTCACTGAACTTGGACGCTTTGGGGACCTCGTCCCAAGAAGATCTCGCACTCGATGTCTCCGAGATTCGTGTGCAGAGTGACAGGCTGCGACGAAACAAAGATGGGTAGGGGAAGAAATGAATGCAGGACAAGCGTTCGGTGAAATTCTCGTGAGAAAAACACGCCATCTCGACTGTGGCCGCAAGGATTGGTTGAAAATATGAGTAGAAGGAGGAGGAGATTGTATACGCTTGTTTCATTGAACTGAGCGCCATCACTGAGTCATTCAGAGCAAATGAAACGGCGTTTTGCCTCATAGGACCGATTTTTCCAGAGAGCTCCGCTTCTGTTTTGGCCGAAATGTTCTTTAGCCCATATAAAGTTAGATATAACATCCATGCTTTGTCCCGATTTGTTCGAAATATAAATCCATCGATCTGTAATTTTTTATTCAAAATGACCCTATTTTTGTCATTGAAAAATTATTTAGTCAGTCCATTAATGTGATCTCGTGATGTGCCCATGTCTCGTCAAGCAATTATCTCGTGATTGTGCCCGAATCCTGAGTACTAAGCTCCCGTGCCTTAGTAATCGGCGTCGGAGCCAAGGTCCACGAGACCGGGCTCAGGTATCCGGCGCTCGTGCTCAAGTTGCTAGAGGCTAGGTTGGAGAAACCCAGCTCCCGCAATTAAGACCCCAGCACTTGAGCTTAAGATCCCAACGGCCGGGCACAAGTCCCCTGAGGCCGGGCCAAACCCCGAATGCTCGAGCTAGGATCCTCAGCACTCCGAAAATAATTTGACATAGCATATGTATCTCTTCTATCACACAAATGGTACATGTTTCTTTCGGAAAATAAAAGCAAGTCTTTCTTCCCAATCAACGGAAAATATTTTTCAATTCATTTTCAAGTTTTGCCCAAATACCGGAAACCGTTAAAATGATTTCATAGAAAATATTTTCCAGACATGTCACATTTTCTGCGAACAAACAAGCTCAATATGTTATATATATGTACGTGTGTTTGACTGGCACGAGAACTTCAAGCGTGAAATCTTTGAAGCTAGAATAGGAATCAGAGTCCAACAAGGTCTTTCCAGGAACGCCTCATCCCATACGGACCGGTCTATGTCCCAAATGAGGCTGGATTTCGTACACGGGCTCAAACTCAATACATAATTTGATATACAATATATCATAACATTCAATGTTAGTGTACTTTATATTGCTCCTATGATTTTTCGGAGGTACTGTCGAGCATTACTTTACTCGATCGGAAAGAAATTATTAGCATCAAGTCGCTAATCTCATGTCGAGCGAATTATTGATACTCCGAATTACTATCATTGATTATTATCCCGTAATTGCCAACAGGTGCTGGACGTGCACAAAACTTGTCATTCATGATTAAAAAAAAAGTATATCGATTGTTAATTTACCTAAAAAGTAGGTCGATCATTGATTAAGTACCTAAAAAGTAGATTGATTGGATAATGATATAAATGGTCTCTTCACTTTGGCGTAATTTGTAATGTAGTTTTTGAACTTTCAATTTATTTAATGTGGTTTATGAACTTTAGCTCAATGTGCAATGTAATCCATAAAATTTTAATTAATGGAAGGACTAACATTGAACATTTTCATATTGTTCAAGGACTAGTTTGAACATGTATAAAAAATTCAAGGATAACATTGAACAAATTAAAAGTTCAGGAACCATATTGCATATTGGACCAAAGTTGAGGAACCATTTGTGTCATTTTCCTTGAATTGATCATCGATTAAGTAAAGGGGTGAGTAAGAGGGACCGACTGAACCAGAAACTGGCTGGACCAGACCGCACTGGCCAGTTGGGTTCGATTTTCAGGAGTGCCGATCCGGTTCCCAGTTCCTAAAAATGGAACCGGTATCCGGGCAGTCCGATTCCCAATTTTAAGGGGGAATCGGACTGAACAGGACCGACGAGATCGGACCGATTATATATATTTATTTTGAAGAATAAGAAGCAAACACAGCGAACTTTGAGAGTTCACAATTTGGACGTCAGCCTTCCACCAACGCGAGGCAAAAAGAAAAATCAATCGCACGAATTCACTTGTGTTTGTGTCTTGTCACTAGCAAATCAACCTGATGAATTCTATTGAAGAAATAAGAAGCAACCAAAAGCACTCATCCCAAACAGAAACCGGCAATATTCATAGAAATGAGAATTAGCGTGAATGACAACATTTCTCTTCTCCGATTTTATTTTTGGCTAGAAATTAAAAAATTTATTTCTCTTTTCCGGACGAATTTTCTGAGCAAAAAGTAGTGTTTGATAGAAACACAAAATTTTTATTCCTGAAATAGAAATTCGTTTGATATCGACGCAAAATTTCTATTCCCACCGACCGTTAAGCGACGGTGGCGGCGGACAACCAGTGAGGGGCGGCAGGGTGGCGACGGGCGGTGGCCAACGGCCAGCGAGCGGCGGCGGCGGAGGGCGACCAGCGAGTGGCAACGGAGGACGGGCGGCGAGCGACAACAGCGGATGGTCGGTGAGCGGCGAGTGAGCGGCGGTGGGCGGCAAGAGTGAGAAATAACATAGAGTGTTATTTTTGTTTTTGCTCCAGAAATAGAAAAGTAAAAAATTTTAACTTCTCGTTTTCGTTCCAAATCTATTTCCGGGCCAAAATTTGTTCCAAAAATAAAAAAAAAATTAAATTATTTTACCAAACGGATTTCCATTCGAAACATTTTCCGTGAAAAACACAGGAAAACAGAATAGTTATCATTCGCGCCCTAAAAGTCCAACATGAGTTTGCTTGAGACAGAGAATTCCGCCGGTTTCATTGTACTGTCCGGAACCAAACCGAACCGGGAGCTAATCACTCCTAATTAAGTACCTATTATTGAGTATATATAAATGGGACTCTATTTTTATTTCAATTTCGAATGAAATCTCCCCTTTTAAAAAAAAAAAATCTAGCAAAATTAAATAACTAAATAAATGAAAAAAAAAAAGAAGAGAAAAGAACCCGCGACAGGCAAATATCATTTCCGGTCTCGATTTTCCAGCTCCCCCTTTGCTTGCGCCGGGGGAAAAAAACCGGCCTGAAAATTTTTCGAAAGGGTTTTAGATAAACCCTACGCTCCCTTCCTCTCTCTCTCTCTCTCTCTCTCGCTCCCTCTCGTTTCTTCACCCTTCGCCATCTCCGATCGCCGGGGAGATTCCTCTCCAGGATTCTCCTCCATTCTTTCCCCCTCCCTGATCGGGAAGCCATGGGCAGCAGCAAAGGACCCTCCCTCTTCTCCGATTTCGGGAAGAAGGCGAAAGGTTCACCTCCCCCTCTCCCTCCCTCTCTCCCTCCCTCTCTCTCTCTCTCTCTCTGTGTCTGCGCGCGTGTTTTGCTTTTGGTTTTTGAGGTTGGGGTCGGTTCGGTTCGTTTTTTGTGGTTGCAGACTTGCTCGCGAAGGACTACAGCTCCGATCAGAAGTTCACCCTCGCCAGCGACAGCGTGACCGGTCTGGTAATCGGTGCTTCGTTTCTTCTCTTTTCCGATTCCGTGCGCTTCCTGCCTCGTGCTTGTTCCGCCGCTCTAGGTTTTCTGTTTTCCTGAGTTTTCTTCTTCTTCTTTTTTTTACTGATTTCGTTTGTTTCGGTACGTGCCCGCTTTGTGATTCGGGCACCGAGAGCGGGTCGAGCTCGTGCGATGACCAGTTCCGTTTTGCGGACCCGCCGTGTTTTCGCCCGCTCGCTGAATGTTTCTCAATAATCGTAGAGGATTTAGCGGTGTTTTTCTTGTTGCTCGAGTTGGGAGCTCTTGTCTGTTACAGCAATGAGCAAAACTGAGAATGTCTGCAAATTTGCCGCGATGAGCAAGATTCATTGCTGGGGTGTGCGAAAAAGTGTGTCGAATCCGCAATTCGCATCGAAGTCTTAATTATAGAGATGGGAGAATGTAATAGCCTTGGGTTCAATTTTGCCTGCATTAGCAATGGCTCTTTATTCTCCTTTGTGGGGAGGTTGGGATGGGAAAAAAAACTAGTATTAATTAAGACAGAGAGAGGAAAGCTTCTATATAGAGGGAAGTCTTAATTTTATAGATGGAAGAACGTAGTAGCCTCGGATTCAATTTCACTCGCGATAGCAATAGCTCTTTTTTCTCTTTTGTGAGAAGAATGGCATGGGAAAAAGAAGCTAGTATTGATCAAGACGAAGAGGGGAAGGCTTCTATACAGAGGGAAAGGGCTTAAGAATATATTGCCGATGAAGTTTGCTGAGATGTTTCATTGTTGGTATGACGAAATGGGGTCAATGCTGCTTCGCTGTCTTCCCAAAATGAGTGATGGTAAAATATTTATAAATGAAAATCTGTACCGATTTTGCGTCTAAATCCATGCCTTGGGAAGTAAATATCAATGCATTCTTATCTGCTTGGTTATTGTCCATGCTTTTTCCTCAGGGAAGTAAGCAGGATTGACACATGGCTTCTTGAATGCTTTCTCTAATATTTTTTTTTTTTTGGATGTTCTTTGTTTCTTCATCAGCTGCATGCAATATGCAATTAGTCAGGTCAAATGATAAAAGAGTGAACAGCTTATTATGATCGCACTTCTTTCGAGGCCCTGTGTAGTTGAGCTAGTGTTCGCTATGTGAATGTTTCATTGAAAAAAAAATCAAAGGACTACACTTATCTCATATATCAGGCATCTGATGTGTTTCCTTGACCTAATCGATTTATGGTTCTTCCATGGTGACCATGAACGCGCTCTTGTTTTGCATCGTGTTGGAGGCATCTGCCTTTTGCTTCACTGACCAGCTCTGTGCCTTGATATATTGTTTTCTCTTTGTACTACTGCTTTTTTTGTGACATTATATTGTTGATGGTTCATCTCTTTTCCCCGAGTCGTGAGAGTGATGTAAATATGAACTTAATTTCTTTAGGCCCTTAGCTCCACTGTGGGGAAGAACGGAGCTCTGTCCTCTGGGAATGTGACAGCACAATACAAGCGGGATAATAGCGTGCTTGATGTCAAAGTTGACACAGAATCAAATGTAGCTCCTTATCTTTTGCTTCTCAAAGTTGGGTTAAATGTTGTCTTCTTTTCTAATAAGAAATTTACTAGTGCAGCAAATCTCAACCACCCTCACTGTCACAGACATCTTGCCATCAACAAAAGCTATTGCTTCCTTAAAGCTACCTGATTACGACTCTGGCAAGGTACCAACTCTGCTAGACACGAGTTTCCGAGTTATTGCTACAAAGAGAGAATTTCTGACATTCTAGTGCCGTTTCTTTAGTTGGAGGCGCAATATTTTCATGAACATGCAACCTTCAGCATGGCCGTCACAGCATCTCAATCCCCGGTTGTTGATGTATCTGCGACGATTGGCACGCCAAGTATTGCTTTTGGTGCAGAGACAAGTTACACAACAGATTCTTATAAATTTGTGAAGTATAATGCTGGGGTCAGCATGACAAAGCCTTATTCCAATGCGTCGGTAATCCTGTGAGTATGTCTAGCATCGGCAGCTTAACCATAGTTTGATAGTGAAAACTTTGTGTGCTTGAGATTGTTAGTTTAGCTAAGATAATGTCGAAGAATGGCTCATTAATATGTTGATATAACTTGAAGTGAACCTGTAGGAATATTAATTGGACACTAGCATAAAGTTATTAAAGAAATTATTTAAAATTGACTCGCAAAAGAGATTGACTTTCTATTGAATTATTATTGATGGGTGATATATCGTGGCCTTCATATGGTGCCTTTAAGCCATGCCAGATACCTTTCGACAAAGAATAACATAGTTTCTTCTGTATATAGGGCTGATAAAGGTGACTCGCTGAGGTTTTCTTATATGCACCACCTAGATCAGCTGAACAGGGGAGCTGTTGTGGGTGAAATTAGTAGGAAGTTCTCCACGAATGAGAACACCCTCACTGTTGGATGTTCCTACGTGGTTGACCCCAACACAATCGTGAAGGCGAAACTCAACAATCATGGCAATCTCGGGGCTCTTCTACAGCATGAGCTCAAACCAAAGTCCTACTTAACTATTTCCGGAGCTTTCGACACCAAGGCCTTGGAAAAATATCCCAAGTTCGGGTTGGCACTTTCTCTTAAGCCTTGAGAAGTCCTCCATGAAAGATTACGATACTGATGCTGCAGCAGATAGAACATATAAAAGATCTCTTGATACTGTTGTTGGTGATGCCAGATTGCAACTTACTGCTATGGGTTTCCTACCCCTTTACCCCTTTTGTTAGCAACTTAGGCTAAGTGGATTTGATTTTTGCCGGTGATTTTCCCGGCCTGTGGTAATGTAGCTCCATTGACATATGAAACTCCCCTTCCCTAAAAGTACGAGAGGGTTTTGATTGAAAGGGCCAGAAGTTCATCTGTCTCTCTCTCTCTTGTGGATAGGCACAGTTATTCAAAAGATTACTCAATATTAGATTGCCCAATTTCATAAGCAGGCCACTTTATATGAAACAAGTAAATACTTTTACAGGTCTACACACCAAGTTCTGCAGCGGTCCTATCTCCTTTGTATCTTCTTCCGCTAGTCTGATAAATGTCAATGCTCTAACGGAAACAAGACTGAAATTAGGGTTTGGTCCATGTACGGCGAGGAGATCCTGTGTCAATGGAGATCCCAAAACTTTACAAGCCTGTTCCACTTCTTGCTTCCTAGGTTTTCACTCTCTTGCTGATGAAGCACGGGTCAGCACTTTGATCCACACGCAACAATTTGCAGTCGACATGAAACACAGGTGATTTATGGTGCGATGTGTTTGCGCATATTATGCGACAGCACGAATTGCACTTTCTACCCTATACTCTTGAATGCAGCATCCATCAAGAACTTTTGATTAGTGAAGAAAAACGGCCCAGCGACGAGTTTTTATCGGCAAAGACCAGACCTGATCATGGGCAAGGCTGCCTGCCTGCGCACGCAAAGTCTCCCATCTTAGCAGGTTTGGCCTAGTAGTATTTAGTTATTAAGTCCAATCCTAATCCGAGAAATAATGCGTGTCTTTTCTTTTTGCGAGTGCTGGACATGGACAGCGAGTTAGGCTCAAACCTTACCACCCAAGCGACACGGGCTCGGGTTAGTACACCGATCACCATTAGGAGAAGATGCACCCTAGAAGATCCGACTTTGCACTGTAACCCAATATCTCAAGTTTTAGATTCTTAACAGAGTGAATTACCAAGTCGAAGAAATGTCCCTCCATCGCTAATCTTGATGCTCCAAGCACCCTTTTCACTCCGGATCTTTACCTGAAGCATAAAGTGTAATTACCGCATGTGGACACCGCAGAAGCTTCCTATGTTTTTTCAGCTAAGTACTGTTCCAACCTAGACAAATCCGAATGGGACCAATAGAATCCAGAGCACTACTCTGGCCATGAAAACCAAATGCCATCACCTTAAAGTCACCATCGTCTGTTCAACATCTTTTCGTGAACAGCCCAAGATTTGTTCGTTTACGATCCAATGACAGTCAATTCCTTCTTTGAGGATTGTAGAAGCTCCTTACTTCTTCCCATGTTGAGGAATTCCTAAGCGTCCTTCGACCTCGAAACTTTCCCATCCAACTCTTTCGCTTCTTTGAATTGACCGGTCAGCGTGTGCTCCATAAATCGGCTTTATAGTTTAACATGAAATTGATAAGGAGAAATTCTTGCCTAAACCCGAATCCCGATAGATGGAGTCAATCATATTTGTTGATCACGTGGGTTTAAATTAAGAGTTAATATCACGAAAAACCCCAAACTGATACACATGTGATAATTTTACCCCAAATTAATTTTTTGTTCACCAAAAACCCCAAACTGGTACACCTGTGACAAACCTCAATCAATTGGGAGGTCAAGAATTTCAGGCTTAGGAACTGAAGGTCATCTGTTTAAATCCCAATAATTATACGCAAATAGCTTTGAATTACAGCCATCGGCTAGTCGAGCCTCTGCTCCACATGCTTCTCTCCATTATCACCTCTGGTTTTGAGCAGGACCTTAAAAGGCTCAAATAGAGATAGGGGAAGGAACTTCCCAGTAGGGTGGAAAGATTACATCGTAAGTTCTATCCGTATTTCTTCTCTCCCAAAAAAAAAATAATGGGACAAAACTTAGGAGCCTATGGATGGGGAATAAGAGTGTGCAAAGGAACTGGAAACCGCTCGAACCGCTAGGAACCAGACTGGCCCAGAACCGGCGGTTCCCGTGAGGACTAGTCTGGTTCTCGGTTCTAGGCGTGGAACCGCCTACCTGCCCACCCGGACCTGACCGGTAATATATATAATTTTTAAGAAAAATTTCGACAAAAAAAATAAAACATTTTTAGAAAAATGAAAACCATAAAATACCTAATTTGAAGCTTGATTCTCAATTCCCATCAACTCACGACCGCGCCTCTAGCGGTTTATCGTCTCCTTTTCTCACTCTTGGTCACCTCCATTTGCGTGAAACTTGGTGAGACCGATTCCACGGATCCACCCGAGAACCGGACCAGATCAGCAGTCGAGTTCCTAGGTGGATCCATGGAACTAGTCATGGCCACGGTTCGGAACCGGCTGGTTCCGGTTCGTGGCCATGTGTGAACCGGAACCGGAACCGCCCCTAGCGGTTCCGGTCCGGCCGATTCCGGTTCGTAATTTAAAAATTTTAAAAATAAATTATGAAATAAAAAAAATAAATAATTATAAAAATATGAAATAATGAATTATTCAATATAAATTATAATAAAAATGAAAATTGTAGGGGTGATCGATTCCTGGTCGGAACCGGGAACCGAACCGGTAAGACCGGTCTTTTAATTTTAGAACTAAGAACCGGACCAGCAAACCATAGAACCGGGAACCGGACCGGACATTGGTCCGGTTCGATTCTAGGCGGTCCAATGGAACCCTTTGCTCTTAACTAGCAAAGGATCGTAGCCACAAAAGGCATACAACTTCACATGCTCATGGCTTGGCTTGGATTGGATTTTATAAACAACCCCTTTGACGGTCTCTTCATTCCCATTCGATGTGGGACTCTTGGCATTTGCATGAAGACAAGCTAAGAGTCTCATATTGAAGGAGTTCAAGGCAAATCGAGAGTTCCACATCGAATGGGAATAAAGAGACCATCAAAGGGGTTGTTTATAAAACCCAAGCCAAGCCTTGTAATTAGAGTTCAATACACCAAAGCCAAGCATTGCAATTGGAGATCAATGCACTTACAATGCATGGCAATTAGAGTTCAATTTGTTTTATAAAAAAAATTTAAATAATGAATTTTTTTTTTAAAAAAAATCATTATTTAAATTTTTTTATAAAACAAATTGAACTCTAATTGCCATGCATTGTAAGTGCATTGATCTCCAATTTTAAAAAAAATCATTATTATTATTTTTTTTTTAAATAATTTGGAACCGGGCCCGTAGGCCATAGGCCGGTTCCGGTTCCGAACCGCGGGCCCGGTCAACGGGCCGGGCCCGGGTTTGACCGGGCCTGTTTCGGGCCGGTTCCGGGCCAAAACCGACCCGTGGCCATGACTACAGGGAACCAACGGGCGGTTTCCGATTTCAATTTCTCAGAACTAGTCCTTAGTAGGTGATTCAACCGCCCATCCGGATCATGCTCACCTTTAATGGGGAAGGTATACTACATGTCAGCTTCAGCTGGCTACTACCAGATAGATAAATATAGTAGCCTCCCGCACCTGGAGTGGCATGGAGGAGCTTCGACTCTTGCTTGGTTGGTCTGTGCTTTGCATAATGACATATAATCGTCTTGCCAACCAAGTATCCCTGGTTTATGTGTAACTGGCTTTGAATTACGGCCATCGGCTAGTCAAGCCTCTACTCCGCACGCGTCTCTTGATTATCACCCCGGCCCCAACAAAAAAAAAAAAAAAAGGGCCTCGAAATTCAAGAGGAAAACCAGTGCGTCAACGCCACGTGTCCCGCCTCGTCTTTCCACTTTATTTTTCTTTCATGACTCTTTTTATGTTGTTGACTTCTCATGTGGACCTTTCGGCAGTTTAATTCCGGTTTACACTCAAAGAAAAAAGTGCCCAAAGTAATTACAGTGGACCATCTATAATTTACATACGCAGGTCTTAATTTCGCGAAAAGCAATGCCAAAAGTCAATTTATGACGTAACCTAATAAGGAACAGACTATAATTTTTTGGGCACAAAATTGAATAAAAAAGCACTTTTTATGTTCGCTCCGGAATTTTTTCCTTGAAAATTAAATCCTGAAAAACTCATGGAAAATATTGAGCGACTTTTCCGGATGTTACCATCTGTATATTATAAGGGCCTATTTGTTCGGTGTCAAGCATATTTAAGATGTTATCTGAATTTTCAAAAACTCATGAAAAAAATCTACTTTACTCCATTCGTAAAAACTTACATGTGGTGAAACTTCTGGGCGTTTTCGGGTAAAAATGTTAAGGTGCAGGATTCGTAATGTATTAATTAGACAGAAAAATGAAATGTAAAAGTCAATCTATGCATCCAAGAGAATCGGAATTTCATTGAAAAAAGACCAAAAAAAAAAAAGAAGCTAAAAAAGTAAAGATGCAAAGAAATCAATTCGAACGAAATCTTTTGCTTTTTTTAAAAAAGAGTGCCTTCGCAATAAAGTCAAAAGTGGGGTGAAAAAACAAAATAAAGTCAAAAAAAAGGGAATCTCTTTTTGAACTCGCTCGCACAGGCTAACAAGACAAGCATTCCCGCCAGCAAAATTAGCAAATTAGAGCGGCGAGATAAAGACACGTACTTCACGTCACAAGATCACGTGCTCGACAGCAATTGATCTCTGTAATACACATCCAAGAAAAATGATAAGCACGTGGCCATGTCAGACAGCTAAGTTGACTAAGAGCGTGTTTAGTAACTTGCCAAATAGTGACTGATTCTATGTTTTTGTTCTCGGGAATAAAAGAATAACAGAAATCCGTTTGGTAAATTTTTTATTCTCGGACACAAATTTATTTCCAGAATCAGTTTTGGAACAGAATCAAGAATAAAAAAAAAAGTTGATTCTTGATTCTGGGAATAAGAATCAGAAATAAAGAGAATTTTTTTTTCTTTTTCTTCTTTCCTTCCTGGCTGTGGCCGGTTCTTCTTCTTTCCTGACCTGTGGCCAGCTAGCGAGCCGGCCATGGCCAAGAAGGAGAAGAAGAAAAAAAGAAAAGCAAAAAAAGAGAAAAAACAAGAAAGAAATATTTAAAAATTTAAAATATTATTAATAAAAAGAAATTTTGTGCGGTTACCAAACGCATTTTTGAGTTTTTTCTATTCCAGGAATGGAAATTTTGGGCCGTTACCAAACGCCTTCAAATGCTTAGAAATTGTTTTCGGATACAGAATAAAAAAAATCATTTCTGAGTATAAATTATTTTCAGAAACAGAATTATTACCAAACACACCCTAACATGTTATTCAATGCCTATCGATTTATAAACAATTTTTT